CTAAGAAAACCAGTGTATTTTATAAAAGGCTCACACTACTGCATTATGATTCATTAAGGGAACCTTCAGAGATTACCTGTATAGAGAGCTCACAAACTGTGAGTGTGCATCTGAGACAATAGCAACAGACTTGCTTTGCCCAGGACAATTTTATTTCATGCAGTCTATTTCAAAGTGGTCTTATGAAGGAAAATGGGCCATGCTTAATTGGAGCATCTGAATAGTGCACTATACCGCCCTATAGAAAATGAACTTATTTGTACACTCGCTGATTGTATTTTCCCCTGTCCGTTGTTTTTAGTAATTTTTGTATAAATTAAAATGTAGAAATAAAAACCATATCACATTTGTCATCTCATGGTAAAACATACTGTTTCATAATGATGTAACAAGAACTTTGATCGTTTCAAAGAATGATTAAACAGTAATCCTCCCAAATACTTGAAATGTAGATCATTAATGGGGATGTCATACTGAATGAGTACATAGAACTTGCATGTAATTTAATGAAAATCTTGCTCAAAACTCTGAAAGTTGAATATGGTTACTCCCTCAATTTAATTATTCCATACTTGACACATCTCTTAGATTGTACACATTAAATAGGAGGATCAGGTTGTACAACTTCTCAGAGATGTGCCACTACTCTGCATTTGGAGTTGTAGGCACTCAACAGGTGTTAAACATCTCTCAGGATTTGACCCAAAGAAAATTAAAACCTTTTCTGTTATGTATTCTATCATTGTTTTTAGTGTTGGGTGCTTGCTGCCCTGGTGGCAGGCTAGCATTGATTTCTCAGTTCACTGTGTTTCTAATTTCTGATAGCTCCCTTGTGAAAGTATTCAGAACAGTGCACTGAAAATAAAATCACTGTCATTCAGGAATTATTTTCATTAGCTATGTTTAAATACTGAATAAAGTATTGTTAGCCCTGTTAATTATTGGCATGTGTTTGAAATAGCAAAGATTATTTAATTCAAGTTACTGACTGCTGCTGTCACACTTTAAAAAAAATAATCTTTTGATACATAGAACCCTCCTCCTTCTCTTCAAAGACTGCATATTGGTAGTCTGCTTCTTGTGCAATACAAAAGATTATCATTCCCAACAGAGTGCTTAAATAATGCTGCCTTTACACCACTTCCACACTGCTGAAGTTAGGGGAACAGTTATTCAATTGTCTTGCGAAAGCTTAGTAGCTATTTAAACTAGTCAATAGAAAGCTGTCAGCACCTTAAAATGGAGGCTGCAAATTGTTGTAAAAAGGAGCCAAGTCAATAGTTGATTATCCTTGACTTTTAGAGTAAATCTTTTGTGTTTTGTGTGATACAAGAAGCTGCTTTTTTTTTTTTTTGGTAGAAAAAACATTACTTTTTGTCCATTAGGAACATTAGTTTGAGCCTTTGCTCTCTTTGCCAAGACACCTTTTATTCCAATAAATTAGTTTCATATGAACCCAGGTGCCATAATATCAGTTCTTGAAGTTGTATACTAGCTCTGCAGATATTTGTTTGTATCTCCTAAAAAGGAATGGTCTCCCAGATAGGTAGGCAATTCTCCAATTTTCTGCGGTGGCCTTTAAAAAAAAATCTATTTTCTGTTTATTACTTTTCCAGAATTTCAGGACAACCTTGATCTATTTGAAGAGGTGTACCAGAGCATTAACATATCTGTACATTTCAAGGAATTGGTGATGGGTGAGGACAGATCTGAGGCAGGTACTATTTTTTTGGTCTAGATAGCAACTAATCCAGTAGGGTTCTGGACCATGCCAAACTCCTAGGTGCTATGATAGTACAAATAAATAAACAATTTAATTTCAGAGTTGCTAGTTCAAATCCAGATCCGGTCAGCACAGTCTTTTATTCAGTGCCATATGTGAAATGAGATGACCCTCTTAAGTTCATTTCCTAGGTGCAAAATGGCTAATAGGCACAATTAGCATTGTTGGCATTCTTTCTTCTGGAACGAAGTTTGAATTACCTCCTCTCTCCCAGAGGTGGTGCACAAGAACTGTTTAAGACAGGCTGACAAGGCAGTGAGGGGAAGCTTCAGTGCTACAGTAGCTGCTTTGTTAATTAGCACAATTTAAGTAAAACTCTTTTAAGTACAATATTCTTTTAAAGTGTGATATAAGTTATGTGATAGGGAGCCCTCCTCAGCGGCAGGGTGGAGGGGAGAGCAGGGCCTAGCATGACCTTAGCCCATTTCTCTCCCTGCCTCGGCGACCAGGGAGAGAGTCCAGGCTGGTGCAGCCTTGGCACTGCCCAGTTGCAGGGAAGGCAAGAGCTGAAGCCCTAGGCCTGTGGTTCTCAACTGGTGGTCCATGGTGACTTTTTCGGTGGTCCACAGGAACATTGTCCAAAGTCACACAGCATGAGCAGGCACTGCCGTTAGACTGTTTTACGCCATGTTCACAAGCACGTGGCAGTCACCTAGGATGCAACCGTGTTGTGTTGCCAGTAACTTCTGTCTGAGGCTCTGAGCGTCAGTATAGCTGCCACCGTTGTGCTGAGCAGTTGCTGTGTTCGTCCTGTGCTACATGTGCTGGGGGTAGTCCTCGAAAATTTTTTGCTTAGCCTGGTGGTCCAAGGACTGAAACGAATTGCCTGCCAGCTGGGGGGGGAGGGGAGAGATCAGGGGGGAGGGCAGCCTTGGCTCCAGGCCCTCCTCTGCCAAGAGGGGGATTGGCGAGCGTAGTGGCAGGTGACACAGCCCCCTAGTATTGTTTACATTCATTTCTGTAAGTTTTGTTTGATAAAACAGTCATAATGTGAGCTCCAAGCCATTACATAGGGATGAACTCCTAACAAGGAAGAACTGCAGGATAATGCATTAGTATAAAATGGCATGGTGACGTCCTATTGGACATTGATTTATCCCCTTCGGAAAAGCAAGAACCAGATGACACCAGCTAAAATGAAAGGCAACACCTTTAAAACACCTCGAAGGAATTTTATGCAGCAGTGTATAATTGACAAATCTAACACTGCAGGTATGATTGAGGCTAATAGCTTAGTCTTAGACATTGTATCTGATGAAGTAGGTCTTTGCCCACAAAAGCTTATGCTCTAATACAGTGGTTCCCAACACGGTGCCTGCGGGTGCCATGGCACCCGCGGGGGCATTTGTGTGCGCCCGCCAAGTGCTCGGGGCTGACCCCGCCCCAGGCGCGCAGTGCATGCGCAGTGTCAGTCCTGGGTGCGCGGGGAGCACTGGCCCTGGGTGCGCGAGCGGCCCCGCCCCTGGGCACCCAGCAACTCCAAAAGGTTGGGTACCACTGCCCTATACTATACAGATTTCATGGGAGAGACCACTTTTTCCTCAAATTAGGGGACCCAACCTAAAAGGGAGTTTCATGGAGTTCACAAGGTTATGGGGATGTGGGAGAGGTCATATTATTACCACCTTACAACTGTGCTGCCTTCAGAGCTGGGTGGCTTCATTTGCAATGTCGGTATGTCTAATTTACATCTCTCTGGCGCCAGAGGGATGTAGTCTAGACATACTCCAACTGACCAGCTCTGAAGGCTTTGCTCCCCTCAATAACTAGGGATGTTAGCAGGTAATCAGTTAAAATGTTACATGAGCTGGGAACCATGGCAGCAGCCCCCATGAGGGGGGAACCACACCTCTCTAGCCTGACCCCAGTGGGGCTGGAGCAGCTCTTCCAGACACACCCCCTTTAATTGGTGGCAGCACTACAATTACACAATTAATTTGTTAAACATCCCTAACAATAACCATGTGATCTCCCCACTAGGGATGTTAAATTTAAATTAATCGGCTAGTCAAATAAGCTTAGTCCTATTTTTTTTTAAATTGGCATATGAACAGTAAGTGCTGTTTCTCTCAAGAACTGGATTCTCAATTACTATAAATCAGCAGAGCTCTATTGGCTTCAAATTATGCTAAGGAAGATTTGTCTGTTTTGAAGCAAAAGTAAGCCTATTAATAGCCAGTGGGCCAGATCCACAACTTGTGTAAATATGTCCCTTATTGGGAATCTGGCTCAAGAACCGTTAAACTTATCCCTTAAAACAAGAAGCTAATCCCCTTGTGAGGGTGAATAAGCAATTCCTTATATGCTATACCTTCATGCTGTACAATTGGCCAGGTGCCATACCTCTCAGTGTGCCACGGCTCAAATATAAGATGCAGTGTGTAATCCAACCAAAGCAACGAACATAAGAATGCAACTTGGTTTTGGAAGCTTAATGGCGTAGAAGCAAATATTGCAGCACATTTAACTCTATGAAAGCTGCTCTGTTTCATCATTTGTTTAATTCTGAGAGCATATGAAGGTTTTGGAAGACGGTGGAATGGGGTGAGGTGGTCAGGGAGCATCCTGAATTTCCCTGTGGCATGTGGAGTATGAAGAAGTGCTATTGTGTGCAGTGGGGTTGAAAGGTGCTACTTGGATATGGATGTGGAATTAGCAGGGTCCATCTCTGCCTTCCCTATTTGAGCATATGATGTGTATGTTCCTGATGCTGGGGAGCCTGTCAATGACATCACCATAAAAATAGGGGCCTCTGGTTTCCCCTTCGTGCTGCACCCTGGTGGCTGCTCGGCATCAACCAAGTGACTTAGTTCCAAGCTTGTGGCCATGTTTGGTGGGGTAGCCTGTTTTGAGGTTATCCACGTGGTTGTTCACAGATGCTTGGGGTCTGTTGTTATAAGTATCTACCCATGGAGATGCAGCTTAAATGATCTCTTCTTCTCTCCAAATCAATTTTAATCCTACTGGGTAGCTTCAATCCTATTACGTTTTTAAACACTATAAGAAGTAGCAGATTTTTCTAATGTGGGAGAATTATTAATATAATGGAAAAGATGGGAGAAAAAACAATAGCTTTGCTGATTTGCAACCTAATTTCTTTGAAGGTATGTTTGAAGAATACTAGCAATGATTTTGTGAAAAGTGTGACTGATGCAAACCAGCTGTTAGCAAGGTATACATTTTAAAAAGTGATATGAAAAAATGCCTTTAAAACCCTTTAATTTTCTCTCATTAACTGAGTAACAGATTGTTAAAAATCCCCAGACAATTCAATTTTACTCTCCCTAGGGTAGATGTTGTGAGTGTACTTTCCCCAAATCTGTATTCTTCATACAAAGTAGTGTAGTTAAATGTCTGCTTTGAATGGAAAAGTTAAATGTCCCAATATGTACTGCATATCCATTTTTTCTATAACTTCGCTTTCCTTATTTCTAATGTCATCAAGATGAAGGGTGAGTAAAACAGCACATTATTGTGCAACAGTTATCATCAGGGCAAAAATAAATAACATGACCACAGTAAAGGGTATTTTAGAAGTATGGTGTGTTTCACTGGATTATTAGTTTGCCTCCCTCTGAAACAGTAGCTTGTATCTTCGGAGGCTTTCTTAGCAAGTAGTCATGGGTGCCTAACTTTCACTGCAATGAACTGATTTAGTTATTTGTAATTTTCACTGAAATTAGTGTATTTAGTTACCGTTGTCTGCTGCTGCTATGTATGCCTTATAAACCATTACACTGATTTCCAAAGCAACTATTTTGATGCATCCTGGGAATTATCTAAAGGACTTGGATGTTTTGGGGGAGGATTAGTTTGGGGAAAATCATATATGGAGCCCATGTAAGAAAAGGTGGATCATTCCTGTGGCAGATCTGATAAATGCCACGATTAGAGATGCAATACTGGATTGGATGAGGGACTATTTATGCCATTAAGCTCCAGAGGGGTAGCTGAGTTAGTCTGTAACAGGAAAAACTTAAAAAACAAGTAGTCTAGTAGCACCTTAAAGACTAACAAAACACGTAGATGGTATCATGAGATTTTGTGGGCACAACCCACTTCTTCAGAATGATTTGCCTAGCCACTCAGGTCAAATTTGATGTGTTGCAGGTTACCCTAGTTACGTGGGAGTGAGGGATAGGTACTTTTATTTGATTTGTCCCCTCCCCCCCATTTATTTACAAGGAACATACAAAGGCCTATTTCCCCAAGGAAGACACAAGAGGCAGGGTTTTCTGCTTACTTTCCCAAGCCTCTTTAGTCAGCCTCCTTCCTAGGTTTTTCTCAGTCATGGATGCACCAGGCAATTGCCTGTTCTGCACAACCATCCCCTTAGTCAGTAATCCCTCAGTCTTGCTTCTTCCAACTGTTGGCAGCCTTGGTTAGATTTGTTCAGCAATAGGTGACCTGGGCTAGTAAGTGGGCTGCATGAGTGGTCCCAGTAGGCCGCAAGATAGTCATAGCAAAACTACACTATTTTGGGAGAACATTTTGGTTAACTGCCCGTATGTACCTAGAATTTGCAGGATGTGCTGACTGAACTGTAGCAGTGCTTTGATTGGATGCAGAGGGAGCGCACAAAGCACAATAGTAGATCTTTGCCCAGCAGTAAAAGCTACATTTGGATGACAGTATAACTGATTGAAAATGTACTGGAAAAAGCAAAGACTTCCGTTCACAAGTTGATTAATTAAGGCACTTCTATTGATTAATTAAGAGGACAAGAAGTGTTTGTTAAGGCAGCTGCACAAATACATGGATTTGATTCTTACAGATCTACAACTGCAATTTCTGGATTCTACTCAACCTCTATGTAGCTTTTATAGATGCCTGTCTTATAAAACAAACAGTCGAATGGAGTGAGGCACTACCAGCAATGGATTTGCTATGTGATAAGGACAGAATAGAGAATTTGAACACAGAATGAAATATCATATGATGAATGAATGAAGGATTGATTCAATTTCTTCATCATCACTAAGGATTTGACACAATCTTTGTGGTATGTTTCCTGGATGAAGGAAGTAGGAATTCATCTTTTGTGCCTCTTGGTCACAACAGTTAGTGTTGAACATAGGCTCTAACTTCGTGGGTGCTCCAGACCTGGAAAAAAAATAGCAGGTTTAGTTTTGTGTTTGCTGTATTAAGTCCTGGAGTGTGTTTTCCGGTAGACATATGTACGTGCTTATTTTGATTAAGTTACTTAGAAGAACTTCATATTCTATCACTGCAGTCCTACAGGACAGTGAAAACAGCGTTTGCACCAGGTGCAATATATTTTGAAAGTTAAGTGGCTCAGTGGTTAAAAGTTGTATTAAATATGCCTGTGTTTTAAAATTGGAGTTCTGTTAAGCTTCATATCCAAAAAGCAAACATGACTTGCACAAGCCCCATTTCTGAGTATCTTTGGAGCATACCAAGTCCAAAACTTTTGAGACAAGCCTACTCACCAGAACTGTGTCCTTGAGTATCTGAAAGCATGACAGCCTGCAGCTCCCAATGAATGGAGACAGAGAAGGGTGTTCAGTGGAGAGCTTCTGTATTAGGACACTGGTCATTAGCCTGAATGACAGCTTAGCTTTCATAGTTTTGGAATAACATTTTTGCATTGTTGGGGTTTTGCTATTTTGAGAAGGAGCGCACTCCCATACACAGAATTCATCCAAGTTAGATAGGACAGACATACAATCAGGGTGGGTATATAGATAGGGTACTTACCTGAGTCCTTCATCAACATCATATTTGTGCTTGTGGTCCATTGATCCGGTCAGACCTTTGGCATCTGGAAAAGGTAAAAACAATGCATCAGATCTCTCTCTTTCACCTGTATGAGTGTGTGTTTGTGTACTGTAGTTGTTCAGTATCTTTAATCCTCCCTTCCTTCCTACCCTACTCTTCCTACCTCCCGCCTCCAGTAAATAAACCGATAGTTGTAGTTACATCAGTGTGTGCTCCTTTTTCTTATTAGGTTAAGCTTTGAAAGATGAGCTTTCCAAAAAAGGTCTCTGAGAGAAAGACTGTTAACTCTTTGCAATCTTCTGAGGGACAAAGTCCTGAATTTGAGAACAAAAAGAAAATTTAAAAGTGTCGGCTCTGCCTAAGAATCTCAGGCTCTGTTTGACCTGCCTCTTTCTTTTTAAAGATAGAACTGATTAGGCTCCATACGCTCTTCTCTTTTTAGGCTTTACTTAGCCCATAATGTGCTAGGGCATAGCTTTGGCAAACACTGGCACTAATTAAGCACTGTGGGTGATCCCCTTGGTCAGGACAAACTAAGAACAGTTTCGCTGCCCGTTACTCAAATAAGAATAACATTTAATTACTCCCACATTCAAGCAAAATGCAGGACAATGTAGCACTTTAAAGACTAACAAGATGGTTTATTAGATGATGAGCTTTCGTGGGCCAGACCCACTTCCTCAGAGCAAATAGTGGAAGAAAATAGTCACCACTATTCTGTTAGTCTTTAAAGTGCTACATTGTCCTGCATTTTGCTTCAGCTACCCCAGACTAACATGGCTACATTTCTATCACTATCCCACATTCAAGTGATTTATAGCCAAGATTGATCACTTGGGCAACACAGGTCTGTCTGCTGGATACCTAGGCAGAGTAGGTATGTTTATGTCAACACAGTCTGATCTAGAAGCCTTTCCCTCATGCGTCCCTGCTCATTACTGGCTGTCAGGGGAAAGCTCATTCCCACCTTATTTACAAATCGTATTTTGCAATTATTAGGTTGGCCAACATCACTGAAAGGAATCCACTGAAACTGGCATAAAACACAGCTGTATGTGCCTTATTTCAATTTTAAGTAAATTTCCAACAAACTAAATGGGGAGCCCTGCATCTTACCAGTTGACCACTAGATGAATGATGGGGAAATTCAGGGAGTTGGGGGGTGTAGGGGAATGAAAGGGGGTTGGCCTAACACCAGGGCAGGTCCTAGCCCAAATGATGCTCCATGCAAGGAGTGTCTTCAGCCCCCCACCCTCATTTGTTAAACTTTTGAATAACTTATGTTTTATTGGCTTGGTAGCTTATTCCATAAGTTTGATGCATGATCATGTATGATGACAAAGGTGCACCAGAGGTTCTGTCCACATAGTTCTCAGAAAGTCTGCAAGGTTCCACGATTTTCTACAAAAGGTCCAAAACGCTCTTAGCGGTCAGTGAGAAATGAATCCAGGGAGGGAATACCTGAAACATGTTACTTCCGACATCCTAGTCTCCCTTTTGCTGTTAAGAAAAGAAAAAAAGCCCCCGCCCAGCACCTGCCCCTAAAGCTGCCCTGCCTAACACCAAAGTTTAAGCCAAGCCCCAGAGTAAGACGCTGATGGATTGAGCTCGTGTGAGCGGACACACTCCAACGCCGCCCAGCCCGCTCCTTTCTGCTGAGACGGCCCCCGGCGCCGAGGGCTGTGCAGCAGGAGAGGGCGGCTGGGGCTGCCCCGGCGAGAGTTCCGCTCCCCGACATGTCACGTGGGCTCCCCCCGCGCTGCAGTCACCGCCACTGGCCCGCGTAGTGCAGAAGCCAGGCTGTGCCAGCCGCCCCCTGCCCCGCTCCGCTCAGGGGCTGGATCCCTGCAGCGCGAGCGCGAGCCACCCCGCCGTTCCGGGCCCCCGCCTTCCTCCCTAGAGCAGGAGGCGCGCGCCGGCGTCCCAGCTAACCCAGCCCTGTCTCGGGGCCGGGAGTGTGACGTAGGCAGCTGCGACGCCTGGAGCTGAGCGTGCAGCTCCCGTACGTCAGC